ATTCTCTAGAACGCCCATTCCTTATTTTAAGCCCAATTTTGATTATTGCGTGGCCTCCTGTCCCGTCCGTTACGTTCAACGCCGTTCTATTCCCGGCGGTTTAAATTCCGAAAACACCCCTCAACTCCCTTAAAATTACCATCGCATTCCCTCTCTCTCTTTCTTCCCACATCCCTTCTGGCCTTCACCGTCTCCAGCACTCATGTCCTGCCTCTTTCTCCCTTCTTCCTTTTCCCCCCCAGTTCTCACCAAACCCTAATCTCGCCGGAAAACTGCTCCCAATTAACCAACAGATTCGCGGTAATCAATAAAATCCCAAATCCCAAAAGATTTTCTCCCGGAATTCCCTTCAGAATCCTGCACATTTCCCCACTATTGCTGCCAAGCTGCCGATGGCTAATACCTCCCCTCCCATTTCCTCCCCACATCCTTCCACAATTCCACTCTCACTACAGAGCAGCACAAGATTTCCGCCATCTCCTTCCAATTCCTCCCGTTTTACAATTCCTTCATCAATATTCTCGACCCCATTTGTCCTCTCTGTCTCCCTTCTTTTATCTCTCCCCGTTCTGTTTTTCCTCCTGGGACCTGCCTTCCATACCCAGCCCCTCCCCCCCATCCCCTTCCCTGATGAAGTCGACGACCTCCGCCTCTTCCGCCGTGCCTCCTCCGCCTCCTATTCCACCTCCCATCTCTCTACCTCCTCACCCAAACTCAAAATCGCCTTCCTTTTCCTTACAAACACAGACCTTTACTTTGCCCCCTTATGGGAACGCTTCTTCAATAAGCAAAGGAATTCCCTTTATAACATTTATGTCCATGCCGATCCCACCGTAAATATCACGCGCCCCCATGGTGGTGTCTTCGAGAACCGCTTCATCCCAAACGCCAAACGCACCTTCCGTGCTTCTGCCACCCTCATCTCCGCCACTCGCCGCCTCCTTGCCACTGCACTCCTGGACGACCCTGCCAACGCCTACTTCGCCGTCCTCTCCCAGTACTGCATCCCCCTTCACAGCTTCCGTTACGTATACCACTCCCTCTTTTCCTCTCCTTCATTTGATTTAACCGATTCGGATCCTGGTCCTCAGCTGGCTCAGTTGGGGATGCGAGTAAGCTACCGGAGCTTTATCGAGATACTATCAAAGGAACCAAGGCTTTGGAAGAGGTACGTCGCTTCGGGGAGGGATGCGATGTTGCCGGAAGTTCCATTTGAGCGGTTCAGGGTTGGATCTCAATTTTTTGTTTTAACTCGTAAACACGCTTTGGTAGTGGTCAGAGATCGGAAGCTTTGGAACAAATTCAAGCTGCCATGTTACAGTGCCGATGATTGCTTCCCTGAGGAGCATTATTTTCCAACATTGCTATCAATGCAGGATGCTAAGGGGTGCACCCATTATACTTTAACTCAAGTCAATTGGACTGGAACAGCTCATGGGCACCCTTATACATACAAGCCAAGTGAGGTCTCTTCTGAGCTAATTTCTCGGTTAAGGAACTCCAAATACTCCAGCTCTTTCTTGTTCGCGAGGAAATTCTCACCGGATTGTTTGGCACCATTGCTGTGTATTGCTGATTCTGTCATTTTCAGGGACTGAGATTTTTTTACCTGGTAAGTAAATTTCTTGTTTTTTCCTCTGATTTCTGTTTTATTTTTCCTAGTTATGATTCCATTCTGGTGTGCTGGTTAACTTTTCATTTGTCAAGTTGATTAGTGGGGCTAGTAACGTGTTAGATGGACATTAGTTTCATCTAATCTTGAAAGTTGGGAATTTTGTTTTCTAGAAAGTTGGAAAAGTCCGAGTCAATTCTCACTTCTATTGGATGCCTTCACCAGATCTTTTTATGCATTATTTTTTATAACTAAAGTACAAATACAAATATTCTCGCACCTGGCCTTTAGTGGCAACTGCCACGATGAAAGGAGCATCCTCCCCTGGTGGTTCGACCCGCCCCATGATCAATTGTTCAAAAAAGAAAAAAAATATATTCTCATCTAGAGTTGCTTTTCCGCGACAAATTTGTGTAGCACTGTTCTTGAAAGATTGTTTTAACCTTCAAGGATGTGACCTTTTTGCTGATTGATTTGTGTCAAGATGCACTCAAGTCTTGTTTAGCTACGTCATCTCTTTGTGTGAAGTGGCATACCTTGTCAGGTAAATTCTAGGTCTTTTGGCATGGACTGACAAGAGTCTGTTAACTGGATTTTTACAGGGGAAAAGAGAATTTTGAGGAAGGGGAAGATATTAAGGGGAAATATGCGGGAAATTTTGGTTTTAGAAGGGGGCAAAGTTGCCCAAAAGACAACCAAGTGGAAAAAACCTTTAAAGCGTTGAACTTTAGAGTCTGTAGATACATAAGGAATCAAAAGTTAGATACTTAGCAGAAGCACGAAGCAGCAAAAAAAAGCTTGTGCTTTTGTTGAAGGTGTAATTTGTTGATGTAACAATAGCTCAAGGTATGTCTTTTGTGTTTCTCATGCGTAATTTGTACATATTATATTGAACATCGCATCCAATTGGGTGTTTTCTGTGTCTTCATTAAGAAGTTAGAGAAAAAAATGGTTCAATGCAATGAACCATTTTGAGGCAAAAGTGAATGAATTTAAAATTTTAAAAGAATGAAGAAAGCTGGGATAAATTGTTATCAACTCTTCCTTTCCAAATATGCATCTATTTGTCTCTCTTTTATCATTGTTTTATTGCTTTAGTATCTAATCACTGTTATATATGCTGCTTATGTTAGATATTCTTAAAGTACAGAATGTTAGAATGAGTAATACTCTTATTTGCAGAATTTATATATCCAGTTGCACTGCTTGTGGTACATGATAAAGATTGTACTTGTAATGGTCATATAATCTCCATATTATATGCACTTGATTTGATGATGATTTAGAATAGTTTTTATGTTATTGGGAATGTGGAATGCAGAAAATTTGATGGTCTTGAGTTATTTGGGTTGTTGCTTTTAAGTTTTATCAATCGTTGTTTATTGTGCCTTTTGTTTATTGTGCCTTACGCAATTGAATTGTTGCCAACAATTTGATTGCTATATGTTTTGCATCATGCAAAAGAGTTTAGAGCAATTGGTGGATTGCTGTTGTCTTACTACTGGGCTGCTGATGAGAATGTCCCATCCCTGTATATTGCTTGGTCGCAGCCATATTCCTTGACATATCTTTCAGATATCATTAAATCTCTCCTTCTAACTAGTATTTTTTCTTAGCATTTGTTTTTGGCAGGTAGGTATGCAATTTCTACGGCACTGGTAAAAGAATTGCAAATAACTAGTTAGTTCTTTCTTTGTCTCTTTTGGTTTTGAAACAAATTTAGTCATGTCCTATGAGCATGAATTCTAGAATAGTTTTTGTTAATCTACAACTGATTTAGTTGCATTCGGGGGTAGTTCATATAATTGATTGCGGTGTTTGTTCATGTGGACTGGTGTATCCGTGAAGGGAATGCAAATTGTTGCTTGCATTTGATGGTACATGCACAAATGTTTTACTCTTTCTCTTCATTCATTTAGGAAAAGAGCATTCTATCATTCCATGTATTTTTCTCATGGATCTTTTACTGGGAAGATGTTAGGATTGAGGAGAGAATGTTTCTGTTTTTGTTATTTCAAGGAAATTAGATGACTTGACCATTTTTTTTTTTTATCTTGGTTACATAATGAGAGTTAATCATCTCATATCTCTTATCCCACTCTACTTGTATGTCATGCGACTCAAATTTAGAATTTCTTACTTCTAATGGAAAGAGATAACCACTAAATTATTTAGGTTGTTAGCGGTAAGTTGGTTGCTTAGCATTGCACTGCAGCCACTGTTATATCGTCTTTGAGTCTTTGACAACCATTTGTGTGCAACACTTTCTTTCACATGAATTCTTGCTTGCTGGAAAACATATGTTTTGGATTGCAAATATTAGCCACCCGCATAATATTAGTAAAAGTTTTTTAACATGTAAATATTGAAAATGTAATTAATATATATATATATATTTCATAAATTTACATTAAAAAACATATTTAACTTTTAATTTATCAATTACTTAATTAAATTTATTCATGTGATAATGATATTAAATTAATATTAATTTTTATATTTTTTGTAAATTAATGACAATAAGATGTTCTTAATCTCTCTCTCAAAAGCAGATATCAGAAAAACTGTATTAGTAATAATGCTTAGATTAATGAAAGAAATTTAGGTTTGGACATAGATGACTAGAAAGGCTTTAGTCAAGACTAAATAAAAAGGTTTAAGTACCATTTTGGTTCTACTTTTTTCTCTTCACCTACTTCTTAATTATCTTCTACTATTACGAGCTTTTATTTATAGAAAGAAAAACTAATCTGGGTTACAAAATAACTGTAGTAAAAGTAACTCTAGTTATAAAAAAGTAACAATGATTAACTAACCCTAGGTTTATTTACAGAGATAACCTTAGTAAGTTATTTTTATCTTTTTAGAAAGATAAAAAGTAACTAACTTTTTAGGAACATGTCTCATGACAGTCATTTTGAAGTGAGGCATGCATGTTCCTTTGTCTGATTCATTTATTATTCCTTCATTTGATTTTTGAGATTTTCCCACCCAATTGAGTCAAGATCATCATAAAAGCCCATTCCAATCTTTGGCTCATCTAGGTTATCATTGGGAAGGTCGTCACCCAAATCAACTCTAGTGCCTCAATATTTGAATTGATCTTCACCATTTTTATACTCCTCAGAATAAATATCTAGTAGTTGAGTGCAACTTGTTTGAGGTGAGAAAGAAATTTCTCTTTGACTTTGACTATGAATAAACACATCAAAATCAAGATAAATTTTTTGAATAACATTCTCAATAAAGAGGGTGTATCAAGTTGTAAAATCATCTCCCATGATCTACATGTGCCATTGTTCTAGCTCTCCAGTGTCTGAGTTGTTTTGTGAAGGATTGAGTAATGAATGGCCAGGCCTGAATGTCTTGTAGAGAGGTGGTAAACTGCTCCTTCTCCTTAAAATAATCTTGTGTTGTGCTGGAAGCAGATGTCTACCCTTCCATTCAGGGGCTTTGCTCTGAATCAATGCCTCAATGTAGTTGGGAGGCATGCTTTCTAAGACAACTATGGCAAATTTTCTTCCAACAAGATCAGTATCTGCCATTTTTATAAAAATTAATTGATAGAGAAAACCATATTCAAGGAGTAACTTTGGAGTTAACTCAATGATTTCCCCTTCATATAAAAACTGAATGGGTTTATAGGAGGATAGATATAGAGAAACTTTGCAAATGCTATAGACAAGTTGACACTGACAGTCATATTGATCAAGTGGAATCCCATCTGCAGTTTCTCCTTCACACCTATTACACCTTTTGAATCTTCCTTCTATAGTAGAATAATAGATGTCCCATGTGAAGCCTATACCAGGTCGGTTGATACCATCTTCAACTATTTGTTGAAGGAATTGTTGAATTGCCTTCAATTTAGCATGGCCTGAAGCTTCTACTTTTTGAAAAATTAGTTGTTTTGAATCATTTGGCAGCTCTGGTAAGGAAACATATGGATTGAAATACATCCTAAGTTGCCTCTGAACGTCATTCACTAATGGAATTGATGTAAAAGTTGAGAAGGATCCTTTAATTAAATATTGATTAATTTCCAGTTAGGGAACTAATTGTCTTCCACCTGCTAGTGGGCTTAAGGCGGTCTTCACTATCTCACCTGAAGGTTCCTGCAATTCTGAAGAAAGATAAGGACTAATGAAAAAGCTGCCTCTAAAATGCTATTGAGCAAAATGGATAGCTTCCTCAATTAGATAAAAACCTTTATAGAGTAGTCTTCTAAAATTTGTATTTCAAACAAGATTTCATCTCACTTCTTATAAATTCCAAGGGTTTTCCCCTTGATTAGAACATAATAATTAAATTCATTCTATTTTTTTCAAATACTGGGCTAAAGTTCTTAAATTGTTCTAAAAAAGGTTCAAGTTGCCAAAGCTCTCCTAAATGTTGTTCAGAAGTTGATCAGCAACTGAATCCAAATTGAGCCCTTCTGTACAATACCTAACTCTAAAGGTTTCACCTCTATCATTGGTTTTCCCTGAAGTCGAGCGTCTCATTTTGATCATGCACAAGAGAAGAATGAATATATTTGCTTAGCCAATCAACAAGATAATTATCTTTACTTTTAATATGTTCAAATTTTATTTTAAACCCGTTTCCAGTTATAATATTTACAAAATTCATCCATCCTTTGGAAGAAAGACTTTTTTCATTTTTCTTTTGAAAATATTTTACAATTGCCTCACAATCTGTTCTAATTGTAAAAGTATCATTTTGGATAAAAAGTCTAAAGGAATTTAAAGCATTTATAACTCATAATATTTCAAAATCAAGAGATATTAAAGAATTTTTACTTTCTCTATACAACCCACTAGAATATTTACAAATTTTTTCTTCTTTTTGAGATGAAAACTCATTAGGTTTTACTAACAAAATTGCTCCCCATCTTTCACTACTACTATTAGTCTCGATTATTTTGTAGTCAGATTCCAATAGTTGAGTTAGATAGGGTAAATTTTTAACTTCTTCTTTTATTATTTTTAACTTCATCTTTTATTCTTTTTACAAATCTGACGTCTTCACTATTAAAAAACTTTTGTTCTTTGGAACTAAGTTTCGCATATAATGGTTCAGTCAATTTAGATATATCCTTTATATACATTTGGGCATAGTTGAGTATACCCAAAAATTTTTTAAGTTCTTTAGTTTCCTCGATTTTGTTAGGGAAGTCAAGAATCTTCTTAACTATATGATCATGTACTATCCAATCCTCATTCCTAAAAATTCAATGTACTCTTTGAAGAGTTCCATTTTCTTTTTAGAAATTATAAGGCCATTTTTCAAAAATTCAGTAAAAATAATCTAAAGGTGTTTGATATGCTCGGTCTCAGTTTGGCTAAAGACGAGAATATCATCTATGTATACCAAGACAAAATCAAAATACTTTTTGAATATCTGATCCATCTTTCTTTGGAATATTGAAGGTGGATTTTTTAATCCAAACAACATGACTTGCCATTCAAAATGTCCTTCGAGACAAGTGAAGGCTGTCCATGGAATGGATTCTTTTTCCATTTTGATCTGCCAGAAACCAAACTTACAATCAAACTTGCTAAAAATTTTTGAATTTTGAATGTAGTTGATTATTTGGTCTTTATCTGGTATCCTATATGCATCTTCGTAAGTGTTTATCATTTAGCTTTTTATAATTTATGACCATTCCTCGTTAATTTCTGCATGATTTCTTACCATGAATGCTGCAGAGGAATGTCCAGAACTGGAATGCTTTATGACTCCTAAGGCTAAAAGTTCTTTTATTTGAACCTCAAATTCTTGTTTGTCAAGTGGACTATGATCCATCTTACCACAAGTAATTCTAAGTTCATGATTTATTATATTTAATTTTGCTATAAATTTATTTCGATCTCAATATTTGATTGGGTCTTCTCCTAAACTTGAGTTTCATCACCTATTCTGATTAACTCATCTAAGTCCATTTTTTTGTAATTTTTATTTTTTCTTTTGTTTTCTTCTTTTTGCAAACTTGAAAGAGTTTTTTCTATATTTACATATATTTCTTCTTCATCATTAACTAAGTCATTAAAAAACTGATAATCTATAGAATCATCAAATATTTCTAAAGTCTCTTTTGAGAGATCTGATATATAATCAGATTCTAATAAATTATCAAAAAAATTTTCATCACTACTTAAATAATTACAATTATATTCAAAATGCTTATTGAATTTATTTTGGATTTTTTGGGGTACTGTTTCTTTTGGTTTTGGAAGGTTCATGACATATTTATCTATTGGGGTGTAACTTATTCGTTTTGCAAATTGTACTCCATCAGAAGAAATTGTCATTTGGTCTCGAAAGTAAGTGATAAAGTTTAAGCCAATTATGAAGGGATAATTATTATGGATATTATGTACAATTACTTGAGGTAATGTGTACTTTTCTTCAAAAGTTCTTAATCCCCAATCCCAAAAAGAAATTTTTGCATCCTTTAAGCATTTATCATATTTGAGTTGAGTTCCATCCATTTGAGTTATGTAAATAGTTTTCATTGATGAAACTTGGGAACTTGGAATTTCAGCCTCAAAGATATGAGATTTGGATGCACTTGTATCAATCATTCCTAAAATTTCTTTTATTTCTCTATTTTTAAAGGTGATTGAACACAATATATTGAGCAAAGAATTTGGATCTTTGGGATTTGTTGAAACATTAGCTGACAAAGTAGAGATTTGCTCTTCTTTATCCACTGTCCGTTCATTAGCATCTTTTCCTTTGAAAGGAATTTTTGCTAATTAGCATCTTTTCCTTTGAAAGGAATTTTTGCTAATTGTTTTTCCAATACTTTTATTTTTTGGTGGAGAAATTCAATTTGTTCTTCTAATTGCAAGATGTACGTAGCTTTTTTATTGAGAGTTTCATTCATCGATTTCATTTCTTGCAATAGAGACAATTTTTCTACATCTCTAATTAATTGTTCTTCATTTGATGGGCCATCTAGTATTCCGATGTAACGGTTATTTGCTTAGAGTTATTAGGTTGTTGTTTGTCAAGATAGAGAAGTATTCCGATGTATTCTGTTTGGTTGTACAAAAAATTACAAAATGAAACCACTTTTGGTTGGTGATTCAGGCAATGTTTGAAATTGATTTGCACTTGGATTGTTTCTAACTCGAATTGAAGATCAGACAAACAAAACCACAATCATGGACTAAGATGCAATAAAATCTCACCAATTTCATAACCTAACAATAATTGAAAGTGATTTAATCCAAGAAAAGAAGTATAAGAAGCTACAGCAAACTTTATTATTCTGGTTCAGGTACACAAATTTTCTCTGCTTTCTGGGCTTTCTAATTCTTGTTTTCGAGTTAGCCTCATTTCAGCTAAGGTCAAAAGAATCTCTACGAGGAGTTACATTACAAGGATATGAAAGAAAAAAAAAATCATTTCCATAGTAAATTTTATTATCCTTAACTGTTTTTGTAAAATTTTTTACCATTCTTTCTTTTTTATTTCCCTGAAAAAATGCAACATTTCATAAAAATGAATGACAGTGTCTACTAGGCCAAAGAATTGAAATTCCCAATAGCATGTGATTTTGTAAGTCAGTTTGCCGCAGTAAGAAGGGAAAATAAGAATTACCCTTGGCAAAATGCAGCTGAAATACTTCTCAAGAAACCTGCAGCCCCAGTAGTTGAGTGAGGAGTAGCCACTACTTTCTTTGGAGATGAGAATTGATGCCAATCTTCATATTGCCCTATGCACCTCCATCTTTTTTCTTTTCCTTTCCATATTTATCTTGTTTGCTCAAGCCACTCATGAAGCAAGGCTTTCCTTTTTGGCCAACCTCATGAGGCATGGTTGGTGACACCGAAGTATACAGTTTTCTGTTGAAACGCATTGATGGCATAATCAACCTGAAAGTGACCAAACGGGGACTTGAATCGAAGTCCATATCCAAACCCAACTCCAGACCCCGGTTTGTTATGTCTCAGTGCTGGATTTCCTGAAAGTTCAATAAAGGGGTTTATTCAATAATAGGTAATATAGAAACAGAAACATCCTGTTCAACTCAGCAGTTCAGAAGCCAAGAAGTCAAGAATCAATAAAAAGAATGGAGTCATGAAAGTTGGAAGCATAAAGCTGAACTTTAATTAAGGTAAAAGAGTTATCAAAATTTCCTGTTTATAATTAGGTTGAATGAAACTTACCGGGAACATGACAACCACTGCCCAAATCAGATCCACAATCCAGGAAAACAGAGCCTTCCAACATCTTGCACTAAGTGCAGCAAAAATGGTCTCAGTGATGTTCATGGAAATTAAATTCAAAACAGCTAATAAAAATGGAGAAAAAAGAGTAGTGCCCTCGATCTTATAGCCAAAATGAGGGTTAATAGTGACAAGAATCAGAAGATCCATTAAAAACAATCAACAAATATCCTTTTCTCTTGTTATCTCTACCGCATGAGTATGGCAATTCCTACTAATGAAAGCAACATCATCTTAAAACTGTAGTTCTTAAGGGGAAAACACAAGATGAGACATTTCAAATGTTTAAATGGCTGCGAAGAAGCAATAACATATCAAATAACAGTTTTTAGAACACAAGACCCTTGCATAAAGTACTACATACCAAAGGGAGTGTCAGTTCAGTATTGGCAACTAAACATGATCTTCCAGATCCTACAGCTCCTTCACCATAGCCCCGCACACTACCAAGACCTCCAACTGCAAATGCCTGATAAGGAGCCATGTCTCCAACAATGGACCCACCTGTCAAGCTGTCAAAGAAGGAGGTAAGAGTAAAGCAATTGTGGAAAGGATATAACATCTAATCTAGCAATCTGCTAATAAATGGAAGCATGGGAGAACCAAGGAACTACATCCCACTGCAGAGCAATGAACTGTTCAAGGCGTGTTATGCATCTCGATGATGTTTTCTATTAAAGTTAACTTAGCATGATTTTTTTTTTCCTTTGTCTGTCTATCAATATTCCTCAGTTCAGATATAGAGCCAGATAATACTTCAAAAAGATAATAAACATTTAACAAGTCTTTTTAAAACATCTATTTTATTTCCTAGCAAATCAGGTCACTAGTCCTGCAAACTAATCTTCAAATTTTTAGCATCTCCCTTTCCTGCTTTTATGTAAGACCCTCTAACAACTAAGTTCAGTCCTTCAATACACTGAAGAGAGAATTGCTTACCTTCCTAATAGAAAGGCAGGTCCAAGCTTGACGCCCTTTGATGCAACAAATTTGAAGCGATTGAAGATTAGCCACTTTGAGAGAACTGGGATACCTTGTTCTACTTGCATACTAAACTGAAACCAAGGGAAACATATGGTTAGTTCCATCATTTAAGTTGTAATGTATAGAATTCAGTAACCCTGCAACAGTCAAGTATGAGCAAATTACACGAGAAAAACTGGAATCATTTGCTTTTGCATATCGAGTCTCTTGCTTTAAAACTACCATACTATCATGCGCATTGCCACTGCACAACAAACAAATTAAGGGGTCAAAATCTGCCCATTAGATTCATAGAAAAGATCGGAATTCACACAAAAATCCATTACCTGCAAGTCACAGGAAAGCCTTCAAGATCTCTAGTTATAGAGCGACCACCATCATTCACTGGGCGAACATGCTGTAAAGTTCACTGTAATTATTTCCCATCTCAAGTAAAAAATGATCATTATGCAGTAACTGAGTATTAATACAATTTACTTAGTCCAAACCTCAAACTTTATGCTAGTTGTGTTGCTCCATTTTGAACTTCCAGGCTCATTTAGATCCAACCCAACAGAAAATCTAGACAAATTCACACCTCCACTCCCTGAACGAGAGAAATTATCCAAAGGTGTACCATGCACCGCAATCTCAGGTGAAAGTGAATGCTGTGCCAGAAAACACAAATTAGAACATAGTGCAGTGAATTTCTACTTGACCAGATCCACAATTGGGTCTCATTAATTAGAAAGTCACAGCAAAACCAGCAATAAACACTAAAAAGAAGTCATTATATATATCTTTCTCATCCACATGACGCAATGGTAAGTTGGTAACAACAACAACAAGAATATGAGTCCCAAACCTGAATTACAAAACATTGTTGAGAAAGCCATTGGGGTCTTGGCCTCCTATATGCCAGCAATATATTTGAATCATATAAGCCCTTATCCCATGTTACATCTAACTTCTCGCTTCCACCAAATAAGTTGGGGTGTTTGATGCAAACGCTGAAAAAATGCAACGAATAAGATATGAAAGCTAAGTTCTTTGTTGCCAATCAACTCAATAGAAGAAAGGAAGCTGTTCCAGTCTCAGATAGTGGAAGCCAATTTTCTCATCCAGCTAAAGGAAAACAGGAAAAATAATCCATAGGGCCTCTTTTCCCCTAGTTTTTGAAAACCAATTTAACCAGATAACATTATCAAAGGTTCAAAATTTCTACTACTCCCCTTCTGCAAACCAGTTTTTAGCAGCAAACAAAGAGAAAAAAATCATTAAAAATCTT